TACCCTGGTTGCCAGAGGTTCTGTATCTTTCGCCTTATTCCCGCTCGTATATTTATTTTACGGCGAGGCGAAGAGAACCTCTGGTGGCACGCGATACAAATCTCTCTTCCATGCTGACGTTGCCGTTTGAGAACTTGCAAAACCGGTTTTATATTTTGTGACGTTTTTAAACTTCCGGGTTTGCCATACTACCAGAATAGCTCTCTTCAGACTGTTTGGCAGCCTTGTGTAAAATATTAAAAATAAGCAGCCCAAACATGTAGAGTATTGTTTATTAGAAACATGTAGATTATTCTCGCAACGCACAAAGCAAAAACTGAGCAACCTTACTGATTGTTAAATTTGTGGAATGCCGTTCGTATTAGCGAACGCATAAAGTCAAAAGTGAAAAAATATATAAAATATATAAATATTTATATATATGTGTGCAACGGAGCCAGTGTGGTTGTTCTTAACAGACAACGGAAAATATTGGCAAATCACATTAATAACTATTAAAGAATTACCAAAATTTAAAGCCTTGAACGATAAGCAAGTGACCAACCCTTTATATTTTACAAATATTAATACTGTAATAGAGTGAACATGTCATGCCATCAACTCAAGTCATGCCGCGATGTCAGCACTTCTCTGGCGCTGAAAATCTTTTTATAGCGGAACAAACTAAGTTAATCTCAAATAACTCACACTAAGTATTAAAAGCATTTTATAAATACGTTCGTATTATTTCTGTATTTTGTTTACATCATGTTCTCTGAGATTTATAAACAGGTTTTTTTGTCTAGCCAATCACGTCACTTCATGTGACTGCTAATTATAACTAACCAATATGTGCTTGGTACAAATTTTGTACCAAAGGAAGAGAGATTTGTATTGCGTGCCACCAGAGGTTCTCTTCTCCTCGCGTAAAATAAATGCGAGCTGGAATATTAAGGCGAAAGATACAGAACCTCTATAGCAACAAGGGTATATGGTATTGAGCACTTTTTGTGTTTCAAACCAAAAACTTAAGCTATATATATATATATATATATATATATATATATATATATATATATATATATATATATATATATATATATATATATTACTGCCTACTGAGCACTGCTTACACTGCAAAATTCGATTTGCAGGAAGCCGTTTGCCGTTGGCAAAGTTCGTGCCTTTATTAACGAACAATCGAACAATTGACAAACGAACAATCAAAATAATATTACTCCCTCAGATGATAGTAATATACAGAGGTTTAATTCCATTGAAAACGATAATGCCAATAATGCTAATAGCCCTCTGGGTAATGATGTAAATAGACAACAGTCACACGCTAGCGGCTCTCTTTTTCCTAAACTTAAAGGTTTTAAAGTATGTCATCTAAATATAGCAAGTTTGATAAAACACTATGATGAGCTTTTGCTATATATGCAAAACAAACTTTTTGACATTATAACGCTTAACGAAACTAGATTAGATAGTAGCGTACTAAACGGTGAAATTGAAATTCCTGGTTATGATATTGTTAGGCGTGATCGAAACAGAAGCGGAGGAGGTGTTGCAATGTATATTAGAAGCAACATACCATACACCATTCGCAAAGACCTCTTCCCTGATAATTTAGAGTTGATTTGTGTAGAAATTAAAAAATTTAAAAGTAAACCTCAGTTAATTACAACATGGTACAGACCACCAAATTCCAGCGTTGAGCTGTTTAGCGAATTTGAAAATTTTTTAAAACTACTTGAGGACGAAAATAAAGAAATTATCATAACCGGAGATCTCAATTGTAACATTCTTGAGCAGAACAAAAGTTTGCCTACTTCTAAACTAATTGACCTGATTGACATTTATCAATTACAGCAACACATACAGTGTCCCACGAGAATTACTAATACAACAGCATCACTACTGGATGTTATCCTCACTTATTATGGTGATGATAAAATATTAGATACAGGAGTAATACACCTTGGTATCAGTGATCATAGTCTTGTTTATCTGTGTCGAAAGCTCAGCATTCCTAAGGCGCCACCAAAAAACTGTCTTTACTAGACATTATAAAAATTATAATGTTAACCAGTTTAACAACGATCTAAGTGAGGTTTTTAGTTTGCCCTTGGATTCAGCTATTTTAACTGACCCAAATGCCTTATGGGACGATTTTAAAAATAAGTTTTTGAGCGTCGCAGATAAACATGCACCAATCAGACAACGTCGTGTCAAGAGTGAATATAAACCGTGGCTGACAAATGAAATTAAGCAAATGAGCTATCGTAGGGATTACCTTAAAAAGCAATCGATTAAATTAAGATCTGCGTATTATGATAAGGCTTACAAGAGATGTAAAAACAAGTTAAATAATCTCATAAAAGAAACTAAACAAGAATACTTTAGAGATAAACTAAGCAATGCTAAAAATAGCAAAGAAAGTTGGCGAACTATATTAACGAATTATTAAACAAAAAGCCTAAAACTTCAGAGGTTAAAGAACTAGATATAAATGGCCAACTTATTACTGACGATGATAAAATTGCAGATGCCTTCAATCAATACTTTTCCACAATTGGCAGTACGTTGTCTGACAAGATCACAGGTAACTGCACTGATCCAATGAACTTTGTGACTCCTCTTGATGGTAGTATATTCAACTTTACAAGCATTACACTCCAAGAAACAATAGATGCACTCAATGAAATTAAAACTAAGAAATCTCCAGGGCTTGATGGTATTAGTATAAGGTTACTAAAAGATGCATCTAACATTGTGGCAGGACCACTAGTGAACATATTCAATGTATCCCTTCAAAGAGCAATTTTCCCTAATGATTGGAAATTAGCAAAGGTGACCCCCATATTTAAAGAAAGAAATAAGGCAGACTGTGAAAATTATAGGCCAATATCTGTTATTTCAGCTGTAGCTAAACTTTTCGAAAAACTGGTATACCTGCAGCTAAGTTCATTCTTGAGGTTGAATGGCATTCTTGTGGAACAGCAGTCTGGCTTCCGTCATCAACATTCTACTGAAACTGCACTGCTTAGTTCTACAAATGAATGGTTGTTCAATATGGACAGAGGTTTACTTAGCGGAGTTTTATTTCTAGACCTTAAAAAGGCTTTTGATACTGTCGACCATCATATTCTTTTATCAAAGCTTGAATTATATGGTATCAAAGGAACTAGCCTAAAATGGTTCGAATCATACGTTTCTGGTCGAAGCCAAATATGCTCTGTGAATGGCAAGATGTCAGCTGTTAGACAAATAAAATGCGGGATACCTCAGGGCTCTAACCTTGGGCCTATTTTATTCCTATTGTACATAAATGATCTTCCTAACTGTTTAGAGACAACTAAAGCAAATCTTTTTGCTGATGACACAAGCCTTTCTTGTAAAGGGTTTAGTCCATATGAAATTGAGATCAAACTTAATAAAGACATTGAAAATGTTCATAGGTGGTTGACAGCTAACAAGCTCTCATTAAATATGAAAAAGAGTGAATTTATGATAATAGGATCAAGACGTCGCTTAGCTTCAATTGAAAATAGCCCAGTACTAACATTAGGGGGAAACAACATTAAGCGAGTTTACCAAAAAAAGTCACTAGGCATGATCCTTGACGACCAGTTAAAATGGAATAAACATAATGAAATGCAATGTAAAACAATTTCAAATAATATCGCCCTGCTGAAAAAAGCAAAATTGTTTGTCAATAGAGATAGTCTGATAAAAATCTACAATGCCTTAGTGTGGCCTCATTTCAATTATTGTTCAACAATCTGGAATGATGGATGTTGTTCGATAATTGATAAATTGTTTATACTGCAGAAGAGAGCAGCGCGTGTGATAACAGGGGACACATACGAGGTTCGTTCCATGCAAACGCTAGATAGTCTTAATTGGCTTCCAATAGAAGAACTTCTAAAACAACGACAGTTAATAATGACATTTAAAGTACTAACTGGTCGATTACCTCGATACCTTGAAAAATTGTTTTCAGTAAGTCAAAATGACAATTACAATCTAAGAAGCAATCAAATTAAATTGAACCTACCCAAACCTAAGACAAATTTTCTCAAACGAAGTTTCTCGTATAGAGCTGCTAAGTCCTGGAACGAACTTCCAAGTGAAACTATTGAAAATTATAACAATCTTTCAACTTTGTCGTTTAAACGGCAATTACTTAATTCATCCGTATCAATTCATTGTAAATAGTTATATTCTTTTTGTCCTTTTTATATTATTGTTGTAAACACACGGCCCTTTGAAAACCAGCGCTGTAAATATTATCTGCTGAACAGGCTACCGTGTTTAAATAATTTTATTAAAGATTAAAGATTAAAGATTAAACCCGCTAAAGTAGGTCTGCATAGGAGACTAGTAGTTAACTCGGTTCTATAAAAAAGTGGTTAGCGTATATTGTAGTTAAAACGTAGTTAAAGTTAATTTGCAATGCTTTAGGGTATCATTAACTTCTCAAGACGTAGTTAAAAATGGCTCTTGTATTGGAGGGAACAACATTTTTCAGTAAAACAACAATGAAAAGTAATGCTTACCTGGGATTTTCAATCCCTATCTTCCCTGTGAATGTTTTCTGACAGTATAAACTCTTCAAACGCTATCGCTTTGGTTTTTCGGCGAAAACAACATATATTTTTGCACGGGAAGATTTCTCGAAGACGACGTAGAGCCCATTACACGAAGAAACATGATATACAGGGTGTATCAAAAAAAGCGCAATCCTCGACTGAAATGTAAATTGCTAAACAAATAATAGACGAAAACGTTAAAGTTTACATTCATTTTAAAGCGTAGCCATTCAGCTTTCTAACAGTGGGTTGTTTCTTAAATTTGACTCATTGGTTCGCGGATAATAATACTTTACGTTATTGCGATTGGAGATTAAAAAAATTGAGATGGAATAACAAATCGTTCTCATGAAAATAACTGATTTTTTCATTAAAACAAAAAATGTTGCATTTTATTAAATGGATTGTAACAATAAGTATAATTACGGCTTTTCTTCCACTATTTTTAACTCAGTTTGAAACTTCAAATGCGATATAATTTTGGCTTGGACCATCTAAGCTGACTGACATCAACTTGCTATAATTTCTGTTTACATTACATCGCAATTCGATGACACTCTGGCTCAGACACCAGAATGTTTTGACGATTTTTAGCATTCGTTTAGGATTTTCAAACAACCTGGTCTCTTTTAAAATACTTTTAATTTGTTCTTACGTGGTTTTCCAGATGTAGTGACGACAACATTAAAGTTTAAAGAAGAAAATTCTAACATTTAAATCGACTAAACAATAACATAGTAAACTTGCATAATTAAACAGCAACTAAAAATGATAGGTTTTACTAAATCTTTTCCTCTGCAATTACTACTAGCATTGGAGACAGGATAATAGTTTATTTGAAAGAGAAAAGAACAGGCTTTGAAGTAAGCCTAAAAGCGTTTAATTAGAAATAGTATTTCGAAAGTTATTAAGCACAAAAGATGAATTGCGTTTATTTTGATACACCCTGTATAATTGCCAAGCAGTTACACTTTGGTTTAACGTAGACATCTCAAGTAAAAATGGCCTTCTTCGTTGATTTTTTTCTTGTTTCCTAGTTTATTTTTCACTGTTTTGAATAAAATTCCCGCCTATTTTCAAAATGCGAGTCCACAATCGTGTTAAATATGCTTGTCAGCGGTCGTTAGTCGCTGCTTACTTTATGTAATTTTCTGTTTAAAACGCCCAACGCAAGTTAACTACGTGTTAGTTAATCATCCTACAAACTACGTTTTGTGCAACGCAATTAAGTCGTGTAGTTAGCTAATCATAGTTAAGGTTTTAACTACAGTGATTAACGCTAATTATAGTTAAATTTAACGACGTTTTTATACAACCGGCCCCTGCTCTTGTTTTGATAAATTGCATACTACGAACAATGGGATTATTCCAAACAATGTGAACAATGGGGGTGAATCAAATTACAACTTAACAAATGACAAGCAAGTAAGTGTCTGCAATGTAAACGAGGGCGAGACGAAGACCCTATTATCCCGGTAAACCCATTAAACCTCGTTGAAAGTGATAACGACGATCTAAAGCATAAGGATATCGATAATGTTAATAACCCCATTGTGTCTGCAGAAGTGGCAACCTCTATTAAATACGATAATAAACAAGTAAGAAACAACAATCAAGCCACTTTTGCGGAGATAGTGGCATCCAGCTTTGCATTTAATTAGTGACTCTGCTGACGGGTTTATTGGTGTTGATCGGAAGAAATTTCTGTTAAATTAAGCGGGATAGCCGATAACGTAAAATAATGTCAAATTGTTTCCTATCGGCAAACAACGGAATATAACACCTTCATATATCTCCGTTTTTCCAAGCAAAAGAATAGGTACGACATCGGCTAAAATTCATTTTCGTTCTGCTGATTGTTCGTTAGTGCAACAACAAAATTTCTGCCCTCAGTTTGTCAACTGCAAGACTTGGCAATCACAAGGAGAAATTAGATCTAATATTACCCATAACGGGAAGTACTCAACTTATGTATAATGGAGCAAATAGAAGACCGAGTTTCATCGCGTAATTTTGGTTGCCGAGTGAGGCAATGAAGACGTAAGGAGACGCGAGGTGTCAATTATAACAATCTAACCCGTATTAGATGTACAAATAATTATAATGGAAAAAACAAAAACAAAATAAAGCTATACTCCCGAAAAGTTGCTGCTTGAACGCACGCTCAATTAATAGAAAGGTTGATGAACTTGCAGCATTTATGTCCGTCAACAAAGTTCATATGGCTGCAATTACGGAGTCTTGGTTGACTGACGAGATCTGGGACGATCAAATATCGATTGGTGGGAAGGACCGGACGCATGGTCGTGGGGGTGAGGCGTGCGCTTATGTGTCTCAGCAGATGTCCATTACGCGATACGTGGAATTAGAAGATTTAAATCTGGAGAGTATGTGGTTGTGGGCTCGACCACCACGCCTATAATCCACCATATAACCCAGGCCACCGGACAAAAGTGTGCAAGAACAGAGGGAACCTTGCGATTACCTTGTGTCCTCTATTGATAGTATACGCTCTAAATACCCTGATTGTGGCATAGTCGTTTTAGGCGATTTCAATCATCTCAATATACAGGATTTAGTTATAAGTCACAACCAGAAATGAATGGTTTAGCGGAATTGAACTCAATCCATCGCCGGATGAGTTGGCATCATCCTTTACCAATGATATGAGCACTGCAATCGATAATTTTTTTCCAGTGAACACAATCAGATTTCATCCACGGACAAACCATGGATTACTGGGCACATAAAGTAACTTTTTAAAGAGCGCCAACGTGCTTTCCATACAGTCGACGCGCAATTGTGGCGCCAATATAGACGGAAGATCCAGATACGATTCACCCTCATGAGGTTTGTGGTAAGCTCTTGAAACTTCAGAGTAATAACACTATAGGCCTGGACAGCATTCCATCACGAATTTTTTATCGAAAGTACTCGAAGATCTTGTGGTTAGTTGGATGGTTGAGGACATAGGCGGACAAATCGATAATCGTACGTCAGTATGGCAGCCTGAAGGGAACATCTACCACCCTTTGTCTTCCAGATCTTATCCACTACTGGCTTTCTAAAATGGACAACCCAGGTCATTACCTTAGAACTTGCTTTCTGGACTTTAGCAAAGCTTTCGATAGAATAGACCACAATATTGTTATAAAATTGATCGATTTGGGAGTGCGCCGTTCAATAATCCCTTGCATGATTTGTAGCTTCCTTTCAAATCGCCGACAGTGTGTTAATTAAGCTGGGACAATGCGTGTCTCGATGGCTTTCTACTAGTGCTGGGGTCCCACAGGGTACCAAATTGGGTCCAATCCTTTTTGTATTAATGATTTGAAAATAGTATCCCCGCGTTCCAGTAATTGGAAGTACGTAGAGGACGTGACGATATCTGAGATTGTTCCAACAAGAGAGGTATCTATACTACAAAACGAATTGGACGCAATTGGTGATTGGACAAGTACCTATAATATGAAATTGAACCCCAAAAAGTGTAAGGAGATGATCGTCTCCTTTCGACCAGATATTGAGCAGCCTCCACCCACCTTAGTTGTTGAAAATGTTAGTCTTGAAAGAATAAAATCCCACAAAGTATTAGGTTTAACGATCCACAATAATCTGAAGTTGGATTTGTATATGAGTGAGATTGTAACCAAAGCATAAAAAAGATTACACATCTTACGGGTTCTCAAGCGCAGTGAAGTTTCATCATTTCATTTGCTACGAGTATATTTTGCACTTATTAGATCCCTACTCGAGTACTGCTGTCCGGTATGGCATTCATCATTGACCATCAACTTGACAGATAAAATTGAACGGATCCAGATCAGAAGCGCACAATGCTAATAATTTATACCACATTAAGCTATGACGCAGCTCTAGACCAAGCCAAATGTTCGACATTACGCGCAAGACGTGGTGCTTTGTACATAAAAACGTTTGACAAAAGGAGTTCACGCCTTAATCATTTAATACCACCGTCTCGGGCCAATGAACACAATTGCAATTTAAGGTACGGAATAGACTAACACTGTTTTCTTGAAAAGAAAAGCTTTAAGAAAAGCTTTCCTGCAATGTGTCTTCGATCGCATAATTTGTAGATTTTGTAAATATAAAAGTACATTTATCTTTCTGTATTAATTCATAGATTCGTAAAACAATTGTTGTAACATAATGCATGTAATACAAGGTACATTTTAATATTGATAGTTTTAAGCAAATGTTGTAAATAACTTCGCAATTCGCTTTCGAGCGCGACAATTTTATTATAAACCCTTGATTGATTGATTGATTAATTGATTGATTAATTTGACTAAACATGCACTGTCAAAATATATAAGCCGAAGAAATATCCGTACCTACGAAAGGTAATTGCTCGAGCTTACATCGTATAGTTTGTTGTTCCTTTGGTTATTTGTTACTTTCATTAACCTTCGTTTCTTTGGCCAACGTTGCTAGTATTCGGAAGCTTCGACGAGCGCTTCCCTAAATGGATTGCGCTTGATTGCCGAATGGACTTCTTGAAACTGGAGTTGTTTTTTTTTAGGTGCCTTTTCACTATCAAAAGTGCCCCTGGAAGCCAGTGCCCCCGCCCATGTTTTGATGCTTCCTACGCCCCTGTAGCCATAGGTAGTTTTGTCATCAATTTTACCATAATCTGTTACCATTAAGATTGTAGTTTCATATTTCATACTTTAAGACATCATAAGGGGCGGGAGATGAGAAACATGATGCGGGTGGGGGGAGGATTTTCTTGCACCATTTTTTCTTCGGCCGTCTAGATAAATTAGGTACGTTGAAGTGCATACGAACTGCATGGAATGATAAGTGGAGGACAAATCCGAAACTTCCTTTTAGGCTTCCATTTCTCATCTTGGAGTATAACTAAACCAAATGAACCGTTGACTTAAGCGCGTCACAATAAACAAAAAATGTCCAAATGCTGCAATCGTGTACAGAATTTGAGGTACGTGTTTCTCTCAGTTTTTCGCCTTCTTCAACTTCTTCGCCGAGACATATTGTAATATAAGATGGTTTCTATTGGATAGTGGTGAGGAAAGTATTTTTTCCTACAAAATTTCGATCACTGAAAAGCTAACTTTGGACTAAACTTTCCTCAGCCCCGTTTCAAACGTCGCGCTTCTCATGTGCCGAACGCATTAAAAACAATAGATATTTCTAGTGCGTTCGGCACATGAGAAGGACGACGTTTGAAACAGGCCTCACTCTTGAACTATATGTCTTTTTTTCAAAATGTAAATTCCTGCGCATTAACTTCACCGAATACTAGTGGATGTTTCACCGATCATAAGGCTGGATCACTGGAGTTAGCACTCCAGTTTACCTATAGTTCAATGGTGTATAGTAGTTCGACAAAATTATAGTTTCAATCATTCAAAAAGTTTAACTGCACGGCTGGTTTGACACAAAATACATTCTCTTCTATTTAACTTACTTAACAACTCGTAATATCTCACTTTATATCCGAGAAGCAAATCACTTCAAACGTCTCGTACACTTTTTGCACGAAAAGGCCGTAAAAGTGGAAAAATCTGCCTGGTTTCCATATGGACGTAAAGATTAAGTCACGATCTTTCTCAGCCGAAATACAACATTTTAGAACTGAAAATACGTGGAGTGATTATAATTAAAGAATATACTTATGATTTATATATATGTGGTTTACAGGTATAAAGCATTATAAACTGGCATTTAAGAAAGATCTTGACACCATATGGAAACCAAGCTTAAAAGTCCCGATAGATCCAAAGTAAAAGTTCGAAACGCGTGCACGAATGTGTGCTTGACAATTCTAAATATTGATAAATTAAAACTATTTTCCCGAACCAGAACATTAAAAACAATAAGAAAATATTGTTTTACTTCCTGCAGTCCGAAAATTTTCAAAGAAATTTCCATAAAGTACGACCAGGAGTAATTCGTACTTTCCAGAAGTAATTTGCCCCTGGCTTATTGCGAAATAATGCGTTAACAGTAAAAAAAAACGCTCACGTATTAATTATTAAAGATATGTTTTTCATAAATATGTAACTTCGGTCCCAAAATCACATTTACACGTGCATGATATAGATAAAACTATTTACAATACGGTTACTAACATGTTTTGGCTTGATCATGACTACAAATTATCTAATAACTAATTATTATAAACTATCGTTAATTATTTTTGGCACTCATCAAATAATCGTTCGTCAGTGCCCTAATGCATCGTCCCAATGTCATTTTTCCATTTACAATTCTTCGGGAATAAATTCCACAAGTCCTTTCTCTAGGAAATAAAATATGGAAAAGAATATCATTCTAATGCAGTCTTAATCAGTTAACAACTACTATATTGTAAAAACAAATTGGTTAGAATAAGAAATTTCTGCATACATGTATTTCTATAGTACTTCGCTAATGCTTTCCTTTACCCGGATGTAACTAGCTGGGCGGAATTAATACCCTTTGGGATTAATCATACCATGTATTAAGTGTCACTCCAAAGTCTTTCAATTTATGAAGTACAACCACAAAGAAGCACGCGGCTCCCGTTTATTTAAATTGCGTCTTCGACTGGTCGTCACAAAAAGCGTGCGAGAATCCTCAGGTTGGAATCGGAAGTCAAGACAAAATGGGAGAGAGACTGGCATTTTAAATCGTTTTGAATAAATAGAATTTATATTTGAGTAAAAATCTATACTTTACCATCATTTTGACAAGGACTTCCAATCTCAGAAATTGGTCCATTATCGATTAGTATTAAAATCACATGTATGCGATCAGGCTCCCAATAATCATCGTTTTCACAACCACTTCCTGTCCCTGAATACGGCCCGTTGCCGCTTCGTACAAAAATCACAGATATATTATCCCAATAATTGTCACCAATACAGAAAACGATTAATAAGAGTAAAAGCACTCCATATCTAAAAAAGAAATCGGTAATAGACATAGTGTCAACACTCGAGACTCCAAATTGCCTTCAACAATGTATACGTACACAAATCGAAATATTAAGCCAGGTAAAACCATAATGCTAGTTCATACATGTCGAAGGGTTTTTTGAAGTCGGAAATTTTGGGTGGAGATTATATGTACAGGGCGTCTTAAAAAAAACCTAATGGAAATTCGACAGCCGCTGTCGTGGATCATAAGCGTGGCTAAACAATTCAATTTTTACGTAGGACGAAAGAACGGTTATTTATATTTTCAACGATACCCTTTTTAAATCGTAACGATGAGAAATGGCCACATATTGTGATATCAAATAGACATTGCAAGTCGAGATGACATTCTTCCACTGTTGGAAATTGCATGGACAACAAAACATAGACAATTCCCAAGAGTGAATTAAAATTGAATGTTAAATGATCTAAAATGAGCTCAACTCGTCAATATTCGTCTTAGTGAGACAATAAGATTATCATTGAAAAGTTAAATAACTGTCCTTTCGTCCTATGTAAAAATTGTTTAGCAAAGTTGATGATGCACGGCAGCCTGTTGAATTTCCCTAGTGTTTTTTTAGACACCCTGTAATTTTGGCCTAACAATGTAGGAGCAGTTGTGATCAACAATACTACTGCAGTATATGCCCTCTAGCCTAACTGCGGCCATGCAATTTCGCGGTTGCAGCGCTAATCCACAAGCTCATGTGTTCATTAAGTGACCTTTTAGAAATCACTCTTGTCGTAAACACCCAAACTTCATTACGACTGAAAATTAGTATAGGTAATCATGTGATGGCGAGCACAATTAGGGATTAATAGTACGAGTGATGTTTGGGAATTTTGCCAAAATTGGATGAGCCCTGGAGCGAGTTGTTTATTATTAGCATGACAAAATTGAATACTTATCAATGTCAACATATTCTCTCGCCAATGCCCAGTCCTGACATACTTTCAACCAAAATTTGGTGCTTTTGTTCGTATTTTAATTTAGTTCTTTTGTTAAAGCAAAATTTGGTGCTATTGCTCGTATTTTCATCGGGCAATTTCATTTTACATTTGCGTTTAAAATACTTTCCGCCATTTTGTTTCTTTGGGAAAATCATTAATTGTACTGCAGTACAATTGAATGAAATAATTGTACTCCTCTCAACCAATCAGCATCCAGTAATTTTGTCATGCTAATAATAAGAATTGTAATCGTGCGATTGTAATCGAAACATGCTAAAATTGCATAAATTGCACATGAAAATTCTAATTGAAAGTTAAAACGACTTAGGCCCCGCTTACATGAGACCGGAACAAGGTCAAACCGGGACCATTAATTGATTTCGTTCAGAGATAATTGATGAGACCAGCAAGCTGCTCCATTTACTGTTCGGCGTACTCCGGATTTTCGGAACACTAATGAATGGAACAGAAGACAGTCACATGACTGTTCTGAACTGTTCTGACTACCCCCATTTTCGAGTAGGGGCAGCCAGAACAGACACGTGACACTGCCTATTTTCACGTGATTGGAAATGGAGACGACATATTTTGTGTATCCAATGCACACTGCATAGAGCGTTATTTTGAAGGGTTAACCGCTATATATTGAGATATACTTATTATGTGCTATTTGAACACCAGGGTTGGGCAAAATCAACGAGTAAAAACGTTGAAAAAGCATACTTAGATATACAAATAACAGCGAATCATTATACGCTTTATTATGCGAATAACTAATGAATATAGTAATGCATGGTTGCATGCATATATAATAAACTAAACACTGTTCCAGAACACCGTGTGCACTCCATTTTATATCGTTCCAGAACAGTGTTCCAAATGTTCTAGAACAGTAAATGAAGCCGCCTGCGGGACGAAAATAATTCATTAAGACCGCTCTAAAGTCATAACGCCTGCTGGCCGAGTCGCCTAACTTCAGACCGGCATGAATTCAGATTGGAATAAATGTAAACGCAAATACATTTCAGCTGCTCTCGGCTGTAACCTTAACATTGAAACAACACATGCGAACAAAAGTCATCTAAAAAAGCCCGTGATTTTGTGTGGTAGCCCGTGGGTAGCCCGTCGTTTTTGTTAGGATTTATATTAGTAGCCCGTTAAGTCTTAGGAAAACTAATTTCACTCGACACTTAGAAACAATTTCAACCACGGGCTACCAAGCGTAGGTAGCCCGTGGTTGAAATTTTTCTAAGTCTTTTTCAAATAGTCACTTACGATAGTCACTTTCGACAATTATTTATCTCATTTTATTATAGTTCATACTACATTCAGAAAAAAATTCAACCACGGGCTACTTGCATTGGTAGCCCGTGATTTTCAGTGGTAGCTCGTGGGTAGCCCGTCGTATTTGTTAGGATTTATATTAGCAGCCCGTAGCCCGTTAAATCTTAGGAAAACTAATTTCACTCGACACTTAGAAAAATGTCGATGCCGGGCTACAGCAGGTACACGTTGAAATGTTGGAAAAACTTTTTTCACTCTACATGCCTAATGTTTTACAAGAGCACAATCCTCACATTGTATTTAACCCTTTATATAAATCTAAAGTTAGTTTATTGAAAATGTTCATGATTTATGTAGCTTTTAACGCCACATACCAATACAAACTAATCTCAATTGCGCTTCAAGGGATTCTAATATAACTTTTCAATATCTAAAAGTTCATATGTGGGCTAGGACAATTGTAGAGCCCGAAAGCTGTTAAGTACTGGCATGGCTTTATGTCTTTGATACATTTACATTGAAAATGTATTGTACAGTGCAAAAATAAGCGTTATGCATGAATGCGTTTATGCAAAGTACAACGTCTGATTGTGCTTTATAAGCAGCCATTTAGTCGGTGTTGTTCATTTTTAAATGCCACGTCAACATGCTGGAAGGGTGGATTGGAAATCGGTTGATGGAGCTTTTGACAAACCAAGAAGACTGCATGTGCAACAAGACAAGAATCACTTATATTGTTGTCCTGTAAATGGATGCGAACACCCTGGATTTAGCAGTTGTCGCGGTTGCAGGAAGCATGTTTACGAAAAGCACGCTTGGTATAAATATTTCAATCAAAAACCTATTGTTATTTCAAATACTGTTGAAGAAAAGGCAATGTAATCATATCAAAAACCAAACATACAATTCCTTGTTGTTCTACGGAAAATGATTTATGTCGTTCCCTTTCGGTGTGGTTACAAAGTGCGGCTGGCGGCGGCAAGTCTGAAAAGCAATCACAAATTTCAGTGACAAGGGCTCTCAAGTTTATAACATTTTGTTGTTCTGAAACGGGCGAGGACGAATTGAATGGGACTTCGTCTTTAGAAATTATAGATTATTTTGTTGGTTCTTCGAAATTGTTAACTAACGGGTGTAATTAACGGGTGTAATTAACGGGTGTAATTAACTAAAGTGTAATTAACGGGTTTCCTTGATTATCTTCAGGGTACTTGGAAAGTGGGAATTTCCGGCCAAGTAGGTTCATAACAAGCATATCTGAGTTGTTAGATTTTCGAAAGTTTAACTCTCCCTCGGGCGCCGTACTGCAAAATTTCTCTGTTACTGATGTTTACATCAAAAGAGCAAAGAAATGTTTGTCAAAAGTAATGAGGTTGCACTGGAGGACAGATCTTGACATAGAAACACTTGAATCAAGACGGAGTTGGGCAAGCTTAGCCGAACTTCAAACTGTGATACCCTTCCATATACCACGTTATAAGATTATATTGGACGAATGCAAAAACAAATCACCTGTTATTAGCGCAACGAATCTTACATTTTTGCTACCCGATTCCTAGCAGTATTTATGTTTTTTAAAGTTAAAGGCTGTAGGCCTATGACGTATCTTAGGATGTTAGGGTTTGTAATCCTAGTGAGAATATATACATTTTAGGATCTAACCAGGAACGAATCGAACCCACGTCCCTGCGATTCCGGTGCAGCGCTCTAACCAACTGAGCTACAGAGGCCAGCTGTTGAGCTGTAACCGTAAGTTCATGTATATATAGGTAAACGGGTGTGCGGGTTGTGATAAGGTGGACTTGAATAATTTAGATTCTTGCACTTCACTGGGTGGAATTAATATTAGGATGTTAGGGTTTGTAATCCAAGTGAGAATATATACATTTTAAGACCTAACCAGGAACGACTGCGAAAAATGCAGAACAGGGTCCTCTCTGGTAGGAATCGAACCTACGGCCCTGCGATTCCGGAGCAGCGCTCTAACCAACTGAGCTACAGAGGCCAGCTGTTGAGCTGTAACCGTAAGTTCATGTATATACAGGTAAACGGGTGTACGGGTTGTGATAAGGTGGACTTGAATCATTTAGATTCTTGCACTTCACTTGGTGGAATTAATATTAGGATGTTAGGGTTTGTAATCCAAGTGAGAATATGTAGAGGAGCAGAAGTTGGTTTCTGAAGATCAAAAACCCAGTTCGAATGTCGCCCGAGTCCATTATCAGAAATTGCGTTCTCGAGATGTAGCTATTAAAGGTCGAACATGTATGGAAAAATTGCGTGGCTTACACGGAGCAGAAATGGACACTTGCGTTGAACAGTTAAAACAAGAACATTGTTCCGAACACGAATCAAAAAGTGATAACGAAACCACTCCCTTACCACAAACAGCGACAGAAATGGTTTCTGCGGAGAAACGCAAACCCTTAGATTCACGAAAGAAGAGGATCAATTTATAGAAAGGGGAATTAAAAGATTTGGTGCACGATGGTGCTCAATCCTACGACATCCTGAATATAACTTACAACCTGGTAGAGAAGCTAGGACACTTAGAGTTCGTGCAATTAATTCAACAAAAGCTTATCTAGTGTATTTCACTCATGTACCTTGTAAATATAAATTTTCTTTTTGAATAGTTGAATAAAATTTGTGAAGTTCTATTCCTTATTTATTACTTTCTTTCTTAAACGATTCCACGCAAAACTAAATGCATTCTCGGTTGTCTTATTTTCTATTTCTGCGACTATAACACGTATAATATGTTGTCTTTGAAAATAGCTGATCAGTCTAATTTATAAATCATGTTAAAGCATAAAGTTTTCACAAACCGCAAATCCATTTAAGGTATAATCTCTTTCAAATACAACAGTGCAATTCTCGTCAATATATATTGTATTTCATGGAGAACAACACAATATATTACTGCTCTCCACTATGTTATAATAGTTAGTATCGACATCGATTGAAATATCTTCATACAATACCGATCAAATAATCGAAAACTGACTTTGCTGAGGAAAGGCTGCATGCTAATTATTGGGCAAAACTTTTGGGTTTAGTTCCGAAAATAGGAACGTATATTCTTGTTTCTATCTCGCGTTATATTGCAACTTAAAACTTTAGTTCCGAAAATAGGAACGCGTTTTCGTTCCTTTCTCGTGCAACGGAACGAATGGTTCCCCCAAACAATGACGGCACTAAACGTTCCGCTTCATATCGTTCCGAAAACCAAAACAAGTCAGATAAACATATACGCCCAGAATTTAGTTTGCCTCGTTTGTTCCGCTAATGACACTAACGTTGCAATTTTCTGTCGCACTACAAAATAGGTAATGATATTCATACTTATCAACGACGATTAGCGTTAAAAGCCTACAACTAAATTGTACTATAGCAAAAAACATCACTTAAAATTGAACAAAATATATGGAAATGATGATGACAATGACAACGACAACGACAACGGCAACGACAACGGCAACGACAACGGCAACGACAACGGCAACGGCAACGACAACGGCAACGACAACGACAACGGCAACGACAACGGCAACGGAAACAGCAGCAACAACAGCATCAACAACCACATCAACAAGAACAGCAAGAACAGCGAGAACAGCAAGAACAGCAAGAATAGCAAGAACAGCAAGAACATCAACAACAGCATCAACAACAGCATCAACAACAACATCAACAACAACAGCAAGAACAGCAAGAACAGCAAGAATAGCAAGAACAGCAAGAACAGCATCAACAACAGCATCAACAACAGCATCAACAACAACATCAACAACAACAGCAAGAACAGCATCAACAACAGCATCAACAACAGCATCAACAACAACATCAACAACAACAGCAAGAACAGCAAGAACAGCAAGAACAGCAAGAACAGCAA